CAAGCATGGTGGCACATGCCTATAACCCTAGCACTTAAGAGGTAGAGGCAGAGGATCAATTCCGGTCATTCTCTGCTACATGGCAAGTTTGAGGCTAGCTTGGGATAGTATGAAACCTTGTCTCAAAAAGCAAAAACAAGCATTCAATTTAAAGGTTATTAAGAAGCCAAGCGAGGGACTGGAGATGCTCAGTGGTTAAGAACATCTGCTGCTCTTCCATCAAACCAGAGTTTAGGTCACACACCTACACAGCAGCTCACAACTGTCTGTAATTCCAGTCCTAAGGGGCCTGATACCCTCTTTGGAGCTTTATATGCACCAGGTGCCCACACGGTGCACAGGCACACATGCAGGCAAAACACCCATAAAACACCATTTAAAAAAATAATAATAATAAATAAACATAATAAAAAATTCTTACAATTCAATGAGAATATTGAATAATATTCCTAGAATAATATTCCTAGCACACAGTAAGTTCACAGTTAGCCACCACCACACACATTTTTTCTTTTGTTTTTGTGTAGGCCAGGCTGGCCTGGAACTCAAGGATCTGCCTGCCTCTGCCTCCCAAGTGCTAGGATTAAAGGTGTGCACCACCGTGCCCTACTTGAACAAGGTCAACATATCCAAACTAAGGGTTCCACACTAATTTAACATTTTTGGTTTTTTGAGACAGGGTTTCTCTATGTAGTCCTGGCTGTCCTGGAATTCACTCTGTAGATCGAGTTGGCCTCAAACTCGGGGATTCACCTGCCCTGGCCTCCTGAGTGCTAGGATTAGAGGCATGGCCACTGTGTCCAGCTACTGCAGCATTCTTTTTGAGGACAATTACTTTGCTTTTGTTTTTCCTCCAATAATCACTGTCTACAATTTGCCTCAAAATTATTATCTTAGGGGCTGGAGAGATGGCTCAGCTGTTAAAGGCTAGGCTCACAACCAAAAATATAAGAGTTCGGTTCCCAGCCCCCAACAGCTGCCTCTCTAGCCACCAAAAAAAAAAAAAGGAAAAAAAAAAGTTATCTTAGTATCAAAGCAATACAGTATTTATGAAATAAGATCAACAAAAACAGTACCCTTCAATTTTTTATTCTATATTGGAGTAATATCAGTAAGAATTTCCCAAAG